AATTTAAAATTAAATATTATATTATATTTTATTTAGAACTTAAATATTATATCATATTAAAAAATTATAAATAACATTTTATTTTAATTTTAATGTTATAAAATTATGATATTATATAAATTAATATTATTTTTTTATTAATAATAATTATTATTATTTTATTAATATAATTTAATTATAATTAAATCCTTAAACTTTAAATTAATATTTAAACCAATCCAATTTTAAAAACATTTAACTTTTCTTCATCCTTTCTTTTGTCATGCAAACACCTAAGCAAATAATCATACATATGAATTGTTTTAAAATATAGACAGATATAGACCCGATGCACACGTAACTAACCAGTAATAACATAATAAATTTTATCACCTAATGGTATACGTCAGTTTTTTTTATTATTTTTAATAAGAAACCTTAAACGAGTGGTGTGCCCGGGGTTGGAGGCTTTTTTATGGAGAATTTATTAAGTATATATTAGTCTTTACAGGTCATGTAATGAGTGTTATTATTTTTTTTATAAATTAAAAAAATTTAAGTTAGGACCACATATAAATAGTGGTATGAACTAAATAATTTCTAACTTTTATGTCACTAACAGCGTTAGACTCCGTCTTTCAAATGCTTGTCAAACAGACAATATTTATCAAAGTAAACAAATCACAGAGATGAAACAAAGACTTTTAGATTTTATTTTAAAATCGATATTAATTAAAGTTGTCTAACAAATCCAACAATAATGACACTAGTGACGTGTGTGCACACATCAGCTTTTGAAGCCTCCTTAAGAAACCAACATGCTCCATCTTCATTTCCACGAGCTCTTTCATTGACTTTCTAGTCTTTTTTTTTTTTCTTTTTTTTCTGAATAAAATCCAAGATCCTTTGCTAGTGATCTCTCTCTAAGTTGAGCTAGTAATTGTTGTGAGAAAAAAAAAATGAGTGATGCTATTAGTTTCTTTCAGTTGAACACAGGAGACAAGATACCTTCTATTGGGTTAGGAACATTTAGTGTTGATCCTGCTGTTGTCGTTGCTGCCATCAAGGTATGTATGCTGGAACTGAATTTTACTTTCTTTTCACACTAAAATAGTAAAATCCAATCCCAACCCTCCTTATCATATTTTCTATATTCTCTTATGGGTTTGTTTTTATCATAATGTTTTCATAAACCTCAATTTATATTCGGGGTTTGTTTAGATTATGTAGAAAAGCTAATTATTGTGTGTGATAACTGATGATTCAGGTGGGGTACAGACATATTGACTGTGCTGAATCCTATTCCAATCAAGCAGAGGTAATTTGATTATAATGAATCGTGTATATATATATATATATATATATATTAGAATTTAGTCAATTTACTTAAGTTGCATGCGAATTTATTGTGGTTTGGTAAAGCTCAGTATCTTATAATAGCCAATAAATATTTTGTTTGAGTATAGAAATGTTGGTTTCAATAGATTGGTTCTACTCTCAAGAAGCTTTTTGAAGATGGTATTGTGAAGCGTGAGGACTTGTGGATCACCTCCAAACTCTGGTTTTATTGTCTTCTCACTCTTATGAAAAGTGTCATGTTTCTTAATGTTGGAGACATATGTTTCTATTTGGTTGTAGTTAAGTTAATCTCTGCTTCTTGTTCTTGACTATATCAGGTGCACAGATCATGATCCAGAAGATGTGCCAAAAGCATTAGAAAGAACTTTACAGGAATTGCAACTTGACTACATAGATCTCTATCTTGTACGTGTAATCTTTCCTTTTCTTCTTTGTGATTTTCTATTGAAGATGGATTTGGTTTCTAAATTCTGATATTGATTTGGTTTTATGTAACAAGTCTATAGTTATAACTAATTGTCTATAATCAAGGATTATATATATTAAATTATTAGGATATAATTAAAATTTCACATCAAGAAATAAAAATTAGAAATTTATAAAATAAACATATAATTTATTAATAAAAGATCTTTTATTATTAATTAAAAATAAAATCATAAAGATTTAGAGTTAAAATGGACATTATTATATAAATATGGAGATGTGTGTGAATAGCATATGATAAACAACAAATATATAATACTCCTCTTGAAAAATATACCCTTCAAAACTAAATACCAAACACAACATATCAATACACTCTTTGTTTAATCAAATGAAATGATTCAATTTGTAGATACATTGGCCAGTTCGCATGAAAAAGGGTTCAGTTGGAGTAAAACCTGAAAATGTTATACAACACGACATTCCCAGCACATGGAGAGCAATGGAGGCACTCTATGATTCAGGCAAGGCTAGAGCCATAGGAGTGAGCAATTTCTCTTCAAAGAAGCTTCAAGATTTGTTGGATATAGCAAGAGTTCCTCCTGCTGTTAACCAAGTGGAATGCCACCCTGGATGGCTGCAGCCAAAGTTGCATACATTCTGTGAATCTAAAGGAATTCACCTATCTGTATGTATAGCACATGGTCATATTATGTTTCATTCATGCAATTAGATCCATGTGCATTCATTTCATATTCTTAGAGTGTTCATGATTAAATTATTTGTTCCCTTTTGGATTCTAAAGCCAAATGAAGATGCTTTTGGTTCTTTGATAATTTCTCCATAAACACTTTTAGAAAAATAAAATTGGAAGAAAAATTGAAAAAAAAATTTATAAACTAAAATTAGTCTATAGATAATTTAAAAATAATATTTTGAAAAAGTTAATAGGAGAAAGTTTCTAGTAAACAACTTATGTATGATAATTTTAGTTTATGAGAAAACTTATTTTTTTTCTACTTATTTTTGTCTCGTAAATTATTTTTGGATAAATTAATCCAATTAGATCTTAAATTTTTCTGTAAGTTAAAACTATTTTATGCATTAATTTAAAATAAAATTTTAGATAAACTAACCAAAAAAATCTTCTTCAAATTAACTTATTTTTCTTTTTTTATCTTTTTCTCTCAAATTCTTCTAAAAAAGTTTACCTAAACAGGCCATTTGGAACATATTCAAATGGTGGTATCTCAAAAACCGTTGTTCTGATTGTTAAGTATCTGTTATGATGAGTTTCCTTTTCAGGGATTTTCCCCATTGGGGTCACAAGGATTTCTCAAGAGTGACTTGCTTAAGAATCCTGTTATCAACATAGTTGCTGAGAAACTGGGGAAGACACCTGCACAAGTAGCCCTTCGATGGGGCTTACAAAAGGGGCATAGTGTGCTACCAAAGACCTCTAATGAAGCCAGGATCAAGGAAAATTTTGATGTCTTCAACTGGTCTATACCTGAAGAACTGATGGCTAAGTTCTCTGAAATTAAACAGGCAAGTACTTAATTTAACCTTATCTTTCCAAGTTTTGATTTTTTTTTTAACATATTCCACGTCAATTAATAGTATGAGCAAAATAAATTATATAATTTATAAATTAGTTTTATAAATCTAAGTCAAGTCTGTGATCTATATTGTAAAATAATATCAAAGTTTGAATTCTATGGGATGTGGTTATTTTAGGTCGACTATGGTTTTATCTGCTATCAGAATCACATTATTGTGTAGTTTTGTAAATTCCATATTAATGGTGTGTCATATGTTCAACTTACAAGCTTATTTTTAAGTAGAGAAGTTGTTAAAATTTCTTTTAAATTTGTATCTAAAGAGGTTCTAACATGCAGAAAATTTACTAATATTGCAGGAAAGGCTTATAAACGGCACTGGATTATTTGTTCATGAAAGCTATGGTGTCTATAAGACTGTTGAAGAACTATGGGATGGCGAATAATTTAATGTGCTAGATGCAAAAAGTTACGAGTCCACTCACTGCTAGAGGAGTTTGAATATTACTATATATTACAATAATACCTTGTGACAAGGACCCACGTTGGAGATAATAGTGCGCCATAAAAGAACCAATAAAATAGTTTATGTATGAATGTTGTGTTTTTGAATCTTCTTAAGAATGTTTTTAAAGTAGTGATCTCTTTGCCGTCACAACCGACACCAACGAGGATCTGACCCCATCACCATTATTAAAAGGAAAAAAAAAAAACTGATCTTATGAAAATGACAAACTGGATTTGTGGAGTGTTAGTTTGGTGCCATGCCTTGTTGACACGAGAGGTTCGAGAGTTGGGGTGGTGCTTCAATGGTGTTTCTTCGGGTTGACAAGTTGGTGCTTGTTTTTTTTTTTTTTTTTTTTTTTTTTTTTTTTTTTTAATTTATTTATTATTATTATTTTTTTTTAATGTTTGTATACTCTCTTGGGTCAGTTTTTGATTAGAAATTGAGTGCTGTTTGTAGAGATTGAGTTGCCTATTCTTCTTGTTTGGAGTGCTTTACATACTTTATGTGAAATATATTATGAATCGATATAAATATTATACATGAATATATTTTTAATGTATTAATGTTTAATTTTAATGTAACAATTAATATACTTTTATATGATTTTCTTTCGTATTTATTTTAAAACTTTAATAATTAGTTACCATAATTAATAGTTTTATGATGTCATTATCGTTTTTATGTTAAGAATTCATATAAAATATTTACTTTATTATTATTATTTTTGACGTAGAATAAGTTATTCACTTTATATTTACTTCAACTTTACACAGAGATTTTTACATTAAGTTTTTAAATACTTGTATTTTTTTCAAAGATATAATTACTTGTATTTTAAAAGAATATTGCAAGCTTTTTATATATATATATATTATTATAAATTAATTTTGTACATTTATGCTTAAACTTGATTAGATGGTGAAAATTTAATTATATGAAAAGAATAAAAAAAAAAAGCCTAAATTATAGTTCCCATATGATACATAAAATTTATCGCCTAATCCATAAAAGTTAATTGGACAAAATGCTAAAAAAAATCTGTTACAAATTTAAAACATGTTTATTATAAAATACTAAATTATGTCTTTAATTCACTAAAAGTGTTTAGTGTTTATATATGTAACAAATGTGTGGATTTCAATCAAAGAAAAGGCAAAAATAATTAATAAAAAAAGAGTTAGTAATTAATAATCCACATTAAGTATGAAATATAGTAGGAACATCATTGAAAAAAATCAGGATAAAACAAAGGTGTATCAGACGATAAAGATGGAATGAGAAGAAATTACTGTATTATTATTGCACAGTGTTAAAATGTCATTCATAATTTTGAATATGAATTTGTAAGAAAGAAAGAAAAAGAAAAATAACGGAAAGGTATAGAAAAAAAAAAGTTAAAGAGGAAACTAACTCAAGTCAAAACAAAAGTAAATATTAAATTAACTTTATCGATAATTCTTAGAGAGTATATATCAATATTTTAAAAATATAATTATAAAGCTGACATACCTTAATTTTAAACACCATAATGGAAAAGTAGGTTTATCTTAATGTATAATGCCACAAATCCTGCAATAATAAAAGGAAAAAAATAGAAATTTTTTTTTAAAAATTTTATTATTTTTTAATTACATAATCTATAACACCAAAAGCCTTAAAATAATAAATAAAAAATCCCATAAAAAAATCAAATGATCAAATAAGATTAATCTAACAAATTAGAAAAAAAAATAAGAAGTATAATTTTTTATTTATTATAAGTATCTCATTAAAGTCCCAAGAAAATAAAAGAACGCATCCAATAAAAAAAAGTGATATGAAAAAGATTGTTTAAAAGAAATAAAAAAAAAATAAAAAGGAGTTCATTTTGACCACATACCATGTATTTAAATTATAATTACTAATAATATTTTAAATACTATGTAATATATGATAATAGTGTCAAATATTCATTTTCAAATAAATAAATTGATGGAGTTAAGTAGGTGAGATGGAGAAGATAATCTTCCTTGCTTGAATCCGCAATGAATCTTGCCTTTGAAATGTTAGCATTTTTCTTCAAATTATGGTTTCTCAATTGAATGAATTTAATTGGTTTTACACATTCATGTAATGCTGAGTTTAGTTACAACATACGGGGAATTCATTTCATCAATTACTCTCTTGGGTCTCTTCCTCCAAACAAACTAAGTTGATTTATTTATGTTGTAGATCCACTGGCCAGTCAGCATGAAAAGGGGATCAGCCGGATTCGAGAAAGAAAATTTGGATAAACCCGACATTCCCAGCACATGGAGAGCAATGGAGGCACTCTATGATTCAGGCAAGACTAGAGCCATAGGAGTGAGCAATTTCTCTTCAAAGAAGCTTCATGATTTGTTGGATATAGCAAGAGTTCCTCCTGCTGTTAACCAAGTGGAATGCCACCCTGGATGGCTGCAGCCAAAGTTGCATGCATTATGTGAATCCAAAGGAATTCATCTATCTGTAAGTATATCACATATATAATATATACATTTACTTATATAAGACTTGGTATTCGAGATATTGTCAGTTATAGTGATTTTAGGCTCATTGTACTGTCATTCTTTTCTTCATAAAAAGACAAATTGGTAGATTAAGTAGAGGAGATTATTTATCAACTATCATTTACCTCAAATCTTTAGGCAATGTGAGACAATTTTTCTTTTGGCATACTTGAACAATTTTCAAAGAAAAATGATCACCTTTGGTGTGAAATTGTTTAGACTCCAGAGCTGGTTGAAAATGATTTTGGTGTGTGAAATTGTTTAGACTCTAGACTGAAAATGATTTTGGTGTATACTCAAATAAAGTTGAAGGTGTCTCAACAACTGTACTTTGTTCTTCTGATATTAGTATTCTAGTTGTATATGTATGATGAAATTATTTTCAGGGATATTCTCCACTAGGCTCACCAGGAGTTCTGAAAAGTGACATTCTTAAGAATCTTGTAGTCACAGAGGTTGCAGAGAAATTGGGGAAGACACCAGCACAAGTTTCCCTTAGATGGGGATTGCAAACAGGTCACAGTGTGCTTCCTAAGAGCACTACTGAGTCCAGAATCAAGGAAAACTTTGATGTCTTTGACTGGTCTATTCCTGAAGACCTGATTCCAAAGTTTTCTGAAATGACGCAGGCAAGTAGTTCGTTACTAACTATGAGTATATATGACCAAGTTTTATGTTCTTTCTCTTGATATGCATTTTCTCTACTTCTTTTACTACATTGCATTATGCTTGTGTCTCACTTAGAAGCTTCATTTTTTGAATTAACACTTGGATTTTACTCGTGCAGGATAGGTTAATTAAGGGCAATTTTTTTGTTGACGAGACCTATGGCGCTTATAAGACAATTGAAGAACTCTAGGATGGTAAACTCTGAGCAATGTTTTGTACTGGGACTACACACCACCCGGTCAAAGTCAACACTAAATACACCCCTTCGGCCTTGGAAAAGACTGAGATGTACCCAAAATGCAAAACATACGCGAGTACCCCCTTTAGGCCGAGTACCCCCTCAGGCCGAGTACCCCTAGGCCGAGTACACCATTAGGCCGAGCATCCCTTTAGGCCGAGTACACCATTAGGCTAAGTACCCCCTCAGGCCGAGTACCCATCAGGCCAATGAATGGGCCGAGTAACCCCTTAGGTCGAGTACCCATCAGGCTAATGAATAGGCCGAGTACCCCCCTTAGGCCAAGTACTCCCTTAGGCCGAGCACCCCTTTAGGCCGAGTACACTATTAGGCCGATTACCCCCTCAGGTCGAGTACCCATCAGGCCAATGAATGGGTTGAGTACCCCCTTAAGCCGAGTACCCATTAGGCCAATGAATAGGCCGAGTACCCCCCTTAGGCCGAGTACCCCCTTAGGTCGAGTATCCCCTTAGGCCGAGCACCTCTTTAAGCCGAGTACACCATTAGGCCAAGTACCCCTTCAGGCCGAGTACCAATCATGCTAATGAATGGGTCGAGTACCCCCTGAGGCCAAGTACCATCAGGCTAATGAATAGGCCGAATACCCCCCTTAGGTCGAGTACCCCTTCAGGCCGAGTACCCATCAAGCCAATGAATAGGTAGAGTACCCCTCAGGCCGAGTACCCATCAGGCCAATGAACACGCCGAACACCCATTCGACCAAGGGAAAGGCCGAATACCCCTTCGGCTAATAAACAGGCTGAACACCCCGTTGATCAATGAACATGTCGAATTCCCCTTCAGCCAATAAACAGGCCGAACACCCCGTCGGTCAATGAACAGGCCGAACACCCCTTCAGCCAATGAACAGGCCGAACACCCCTTCGACCAATGAACAGGCCGAACACCCCTTCGACCAATGAACATGCCGAATACCCCTTCAGCTGATGAACATACCGAATGGGTATTCAACTGTAATGAATTTCCATGAGAAAAAGGAAAGCAGGTATTAATTACACTAAACACGTCCACGTCAGCTGTAATGAGTGTGCAAAACCTTGTGTCCTAGCCCAATAATCTAGAAAGCCCACCAGGCCCAAGAACGTCACTATAAATATGGTATTGATGGGACTTATGGGACAGGTATGATTATTTAATACAATAGCCTTTATTGCTCTATACCGAATACTCACTTGAGCGTCGAAGTGCCTTTGCAGGTACCCTCCCCACCATTCGGAGACAGGACTCAGCCAACATTTGAAACTTAGGAGACTAATCAAGAAGGAGGAAAGAAGGAGTGTTCTCAGCATGAACATTTTGGCGCCCACCGTGGGGCTGAAACCAAAACGGTTTTCGACCCTGAATTAAGATGGTAGCATCTAGGAGCCACCAAGAAAACGCGAACCTCAGGATGCCCTGAGAACCCAAACAGTAGACAAATCAAAACATAGAAGGAATGGAGGAATCGTACGTGGACCGCTCGCAACCCGCAAACCCGTCATCAACCATAGAACAGCTGAAGGCTGAAATGTTTGAATTGAAGAGGCTTCGGGAAAAGGATGCCCACGAATTATCCATCATACGAAGGGAGAATGCGGAACTTAGAAGCGATAATCACTCGTGGAAACCATCGCAATGCATCCCAAATACAAAACCCACCAACGATCAAGGTGAATAATCGAGATGGTATAAGGAGCCAAGGCCTTCAGGCCGACTAGCCGGAGTAACCACTACAATACTTGATCAACAAAGACAATAAGGGAAGACAGTATTCATCCATGATATCAACGGGGCACGATTACCCGACAATTGGAAAAACTTAGTTTTGGAACAGTACGACGGGATTACCGATCTGGAAGAACACTTGGACGCCTTCACCACCCATGTCGGTTTGTTCAAGATGAAGATGCAATCATGTGCAAGGTATTCCCTACATCACTGAAAGGACCAGCCTTAAACTGGTTTACCAGACTCCCTTCAGGGTCCATAGACTCTTTTGCCACACTAGCCACATGCTTTAGCATCCATTTCGCCACAAGCCGACCCCATCGGCTTACCTCCCTTGCCTTGATCAATATCCGTCAAGAGAAGAGGGAGTTGTTGAGGGCCTTCATGGAGCGATTTGGGAAAATGACGTTAGCCATTCGAGATTTGGACCTGGTAGTAGCCATGCACCACCTCACTACGACACTACGACCTGGGCCCTTTGTGAACAGTTTGTGTAAGAAGCCACCTATAGACCTCGACGATCTACGCCAAGGAGCGACCAAATACATGCAAATGAAAGAGTTGACAGAGTTCAGAAACCAATCACGACCCGAACCTAATAAGAGGGAAAGGGACAGAGAACACCCGGCAAAACCTCGCATCCCAAACATTGCAGATCGCGAGAGAATCACAAAGGGACCGAGGTATGCACAATACACGCCTCTTAATGCAAGCAGAACCAAGGTGTTGGAGCAAGCTCTGGCCACCGAATTCCTAACGGTGCCCCGATGCGCTTCAACTCCACCCCATGAAGATAAGACAAAAACATGTCAATTCCATAGAAATAGGGGGCACACGACGTAAGAATGCACAACTCTGCGGGATCGCATCGAAGATCTTGTAAAAATGGGGCACCTCCAAACCTTCATACAATCCTCGAACAGGAAAAGGTAGGACAACTACCCCGACGGGAGAGACCAAAAGAGAGAGGGCCAAGATAGGGCACCTCCGAGATATAGGCACAGGGAACTTAGCAAGTCACATGAACGAAGTGATCAGCAACGGGATAGGTATCTCCTGAGAAGGGTGATAAATACAATTGTTGGAGGATTTGCAGGAGGTGGAGGAACCTCTTTGGCATGAAAGAGTCACTTGAGGGCGATTAGGTCAATCAATGCCGTAACACGAACATATTTAGTCCCCATGCCGCCCATCACCTTTACCAACAGGGACTTCCAGGGGGTCGACCCAGTACAAGACGGTCCCATGGTAATCAGCGTAGAAATTAATAACTATTTGGTGAGAAAAACGCTCATAGACCAGGGGACTTTAGCTGATATCTTATACTGGAAAACATTAAAACAGTTGGGCATTCCCGAACAGGAGTTGACACCCTACCATGAGCCCTTAGTCGGATTCTCGAGAGAGAGAGTAGAAACCTGAGGAACCATTGACTTGTACACCTACTTTGGGAACGAACAAGAAGGGCAAAAAGTCAAGGTACGATATGTGATGGTACATGCCAATACCTCCTACAATATCTTGCTTGGACAACCCTCTTTAAACAAGTTTCATGCCATTGTGTCAACCCCTCACTTTCGATCAAAAAACGGGTCGCGAATGCTACTATGCTAGTTTGAAGGTACAACTATTGCTTAGGTACCCACACGACGTCAATGTTATCGGTGATCACCGCCAAATCAGAGGAGATACATATTTTGAGTTAGACCCCCATTCGAATGATGACCATAGAGTGGAGTCGGTCGAGACAACTATCCCCTTGCAACTTGGGAGAAGTAAGGAGCAGGTCACATACCTGAGTTCCCAGTTGATGGCCATGGAGGTCAAAAGTATCAAAAAGGTTCTCATTAGGAACTACGACCTGTTTGCCTGGATAGCAACGAACATGCTGGGCATTGATCACACTATCACTGCCATCGACTTTTCATATGTCGAGATGCCAAGCCCATTGCCCAGAAAAAGAGGAAGATAGGCAGTGAGAGAGCACAAACCGTGAGGGAAGAAATTGCAAAATTACTCCAAGCTGGGTTTATCAGAGAAGTCAAGTATACCACCTGGTTAGCCAACGTGGTGATGGTAAAAAAGGCCAATGATAAATGGCGAATGTGTACCTATTACACAAATTTGAACAAAGTTTGCCCGAAGGATGCTTATCCGTTACCGCATATTGATGCGTTGGTAGACGTTGCAGCAGGCCATCAGATACTTAGCTTCCTTGATGCTTATTCTGGTACAATTAGATACCCATGTATCCACCGGACGAGGGGAAAACAGTGTTCATCAGAGTCGGCTAACTTTCGTTAGAGTCATGCTGGTTGGTTTGAAGAACGCGGGGGCAACTTACTAAAGACTCGTGGACTCCACCAATAGATTGAGAAGTGTCTAGAAGTGTATGTAGACGACATGGTGGTAAAGTCTGACTCCATGGACGATCACATCAAAGACCTAAGGTAGGTGTTCGATGAGGCTATCATCGACATGAGGAGCCCTCGCAACGTCAAGGAAGTGCAGCGCTTGGCTGGGCAGATAACATCACTGACGCGTTTCTTACCATGCATGGCGGACAATTCTAGGCCAATAATGTTGTTGTTGAAGAAGGCCCACAAATTCCAATGGATCGAGGAGTGTGAACCGTCATTCCAAGAATTCAAAGCAATGCTTGTTGCACCACCACTCTTGTCTAAACAAAACCCCCAGTCAGACCTCATAGTTTACATAGTTGTCTCTAAAATGACCATTAGTGCTGCCTTGGTACAAGAAAGGAGAGAGCAAGTTCCAGTATACTTCGTTAGTAGAGTCCTGCAAGAAGTAGAGACTTGATACCAGCAGCTCGAAAAGACAGTCCTTGCTTTGGTACAGGTGGCTCTCCGCTTACGCCACTACTTTCAAAGCCATAAAATAGTCATAAGGATGGACAGTCTGATAGCCAAAGTCTTGAGAAAGTCCGAGCTCGCAGGTAGAATGGTAGCATGGTCAATAGAGCCATCACAATTTGACATTCAGTTTGAATCAAAAGCTCCTATCAAAGCTCAAAGCGTGGTTGACTTATTAAATGAGTTTCACCCTGAAACCGCGTCAGAAAAGGTAGTATGGACATTACACGTAAACGGGTCATCAAACCAACAGGGTAGCAGAGCCGGGATCATACTTGAAGGACTGGACAACATGGTGGTAGAACAATCACTACGCTTCAACTTCAAGATTTCCAACAATCAAGCCGAATATGAAGCCTTGCTAGTTAGTTTGCCTGGTAAGAGAATTGGGGATCACGAGAGTTAAGTGTTGGAGTGACTCCCAGGTAGTCATGGAGTAGATAAATGGAACATTTCAAGTCAAGGAGCTGACATTGCTCAAGTACTTC